TGTTTGTGATACTGTCTAACATGTTTGTGAAACTGTAGAACATGTTTGTGAAACTGTAGAACATGTTTGTGATACTGTCTAACATGTTTGTGATACTGTCTAACATGTTTGTGATACTGTCTAACATGTTTGTGATACTGTCTAACATGTTTGTGATACTGTCTAACATGTTTGTGATACTGTCTAACATGTTTGTGATACTGTCTACCATGTTTGTCTAACATGTTTGTGATACTGTCTGACATGTTTGTGATACTGTCTACCATGTTTGTGATACTGTCTACCATGTTTGTGATACTGTCTACCATGTTTGTGATACTGTCTACCATGTTTGTAGTACTGTCTACCATGTTTGTAGTACTGTCTACCATGTTTGTAGTACTGTCTACCATGTTTGTAGTACTGTCTGACATGTTTGTGATACTGTCTACCATGTTTGTGATACTGTCTACCATGTTTGTAGTACTGTCTGACATGTTTGTTGAAACTGTCTACATGTTAGTTTGTCTGTCAATCATATTGTGAACTGTCTACCATGTTTGTGATAGAAATATCTTGTAAAGGGAAATGTCAATGTTATGAAACGTCACTAACAATGTTTTTTTTATTTATGATTGAATATTGGCGATTTCCCAAAAGTTTGATCGACTAAGGTATAATAAAATCTCTGATGTAATTTCTCACTTAAGATGTCTATATTTCATCATTTCATTCTATGTTCCATTCTTCAAAAAAGTAAATAAATAAAAAAAAAAACATAAAAAAAAAAAAAAATAACACCGCGACAAAAGACGACGACGACGACAACTACAACAACGAAAACGACGACAATAACAGTAACAACGACGGCGACGACGAAGAAAAATACTAACACGTGAACAAAATCATAACCAAAACTCAAATTCGATAAAAAAAAATTAGGGTAAAAAGCGATCAAAATGCAAAAATGGCTTTCGTAAAAAATTAAGAAGATAAAACCAGATGTTCCGAAAAAGTCAGCGGCTTTTGCTTCATCGACGACACCAGCCACATAAGTCTTGGTCAATACCAGTCGGCAATGTCACGTTCCTAAGTGAAAGCACTGTAAACAACAATGAAATTAAAAGGTATACCAGCTAGCATCAAACACATCCATCTACATGTTATTTCAGGAAATAGAATATTTCCCCATGAGATCATTATGACGACCGTAAATGACTATCGCACAGAGTTTTTCATTATATACACTCAACCTTTTCATTTGTATGGCAGTGCTAAAGAGTCTAACCCCATTGATTATTACCACATGGCGATCATCGGATAGGTCGTGTTTCACACATTTGTGGTGGTACATAGGAACAGTGGGGAAGGTCGGTGTACGTGGAATTAAGTATAACAAAAAATAATTGTATCAATAGAGTCAAAGCTTATTGACGATTTGAAGAAAGTTTACATACCTTGCACGTATTCAAACAAACAGTAGTGTAAAATCGATGTGGAAAGAAAAGAGACTTTATTCGAATTATTCTTCAACGCTTTCAGAGTGATTCCATACAGGGGACGTGTGTAAGAAGGACGCAGGAGTAATCATGGTGAGTACACGTAAATCAGGCCTTTCGTTACGTAAAATATCTTTTTCAAGTCATGTTTCAAATCTAATATTTAAGAAAAGAACATTTATTTGATAGGTACGATGTGACGATGTATAGGGACTGCAGATCCAAACATATTACAAGGTTATGAAACAGTGTTTATTCGAAAATGACTGATGTTCAAGTAGATTTTTCATTTTAATTGCAATATGTAAATTCATGTCATTTTTATACAAACATCGCACCCAGCAGTTTATTATCAACTTTTTCTTTATAAATTCAAGTTTTATGCTCACTTTTTTATTTTCAATGGAGATTCTTGCCGATCCATTTCATTTCTCCTTGTGTGTAATAGTTATGAACTGCCGTTTTTTCTGTGATACTATTGTATGTTTATTATCTATTGTACACTTTTATGAATGTAGACAAACAAAGATAGTCTTATCGGTAAACAGCGTCAATATAAAAAGATATTTTCTATAAATTTGATAATTCTACAAGTTCACTGTAAACAGAAGGTCTGCCGGCATCAATCTATATTTTACTAATCGAGCTACAGAGCAATTTACATTTGACACTATATTGTTAGTGAGGTAAATATCGATTTAATATGAATTACACAACAGAAATATTCTATGTTCCGATGACAAGATCAAACACATTACACAACTTTTGAATATTTGTCTGGGGAGACTAATTTAATGTCGATTGTTGTTTTGACTGTTCCGTCCTTGATTTCTCGTAAGTGATGATATCGCAATACCTGCTGTTTTCCTTTGTGATGACTTCTGAGTTCATATTGTTTCCCTTAGTGATGACTTATCAATAAATATTGTTTCCTTAGTGATGACTTCTAAGTTCATATTGTTTCCTTAGTGAAGACCTCTCAGTTCATATTGTTTCCTTAGTGATGACTTCTCAGTTCATAGTGTTTCCTTAGTGATGACTCCACAGTTCATATTGTTTCCCTTAGTGATGACTGCTTAGTTCATATTGTTTCCCTTAGTGATGACCTCTCAGTTCATATTGTTTCCCTTAGTGATGACTGCTTAGTTCATATTGTTTCCTTAGTGATGACCTCTCAGTTCATATTGTTTCCCTTAGTGATGACTTCTCAGTTCATATTGTTTCCCTTAGTGATGACTGCTTAGTTCATATTGTTTCCTTAGTGATGACTCCACAGTTCATATTGTTTCCCTTAGTGATGACCTCTCAGTTCATATTGTTTCCCTTAGTGATGACTGCTTAGTTCATATTGTTTCCTTAGTGATGACTCCACAGTTCCTATTGTTGCCCTTAGTGAAGACTTCTCAGTTCATATTGTTTCTTTAGTGAAGACTTCTCAGTTTATGTTGTTTCCCTTACTGATGACTCTACAGTTCATGTTGTTTCCCTTAGTGATGACCTCTCAGTTCATATTGTTTCCTTAGTGATGACTCCACAGTTCCTATTGTTGCCCTTAGTGATGACTACTCAGTTCATATTGTATCCCTTAGTGATGACTCCTCAGTTCATATTGTTTCTCTCTCAGTTCATATTGTATCCCTTAGTGATGACTCCTCAGTTCATATTGTTTCTCTTATTGATGATTTCACAGTTCATATTGTATCCATTAGTGATGACTGCTTAGTTCATATTGTTTCCTTAGTGATGACTCCTCAGTTCATATTGTTTCTCTTATTGATGACTCCTCAGTTCATATTGTTTCCCTTAGTAAAGACTTCTCAGTTCATATTGTTTCCTTAGTGATGACTTCTCAGTTCATATTGTGTCCCTTAGTGAAGACTTCTCAGTTCATATTGTTGCCCTTAGTGATGACTCCATAGTTCCTATTGTTGCCCTTAGTGATGACTCCACAGTTCCTATTGTTGCCCTTAGTGATGACTGCTTAGTTCATATTGTATTCCTTAGTGATGACCTCTCAGTTCATATTGTTTCCTTAGTGATGACTCCACAGTTCCTATTGTTGCCCATAGTGATGACTGCTTAGTTCATATTGTATCCCTTCGTGATGACTCCTCAGTTCATGTTGTTTCCTTAGTGATGACTGCTCAGTTCATATTGTATCTCTTAGTGATGACCTCTCAGTTCATATTGTTTCCTTAGTGATGACTTCTCAGTTCATATTGTATCCCTTAGTGATAACTTCTCAGTTCATAATGTTTCCCTTAGTGATGACTTCTCAGTTCATATTGTTTCCTTAGTGATGACTGCTCAGTTCATATTGTATCCATTAGTGATAACTCCTCAATAATTTATCCCTTAGTGAAGACTTCTCAGTTCATATTGTTTCCTTAGTGATGACTTCTCAGTTCATATTGTTGCCCTTAATGATGACTCCACAGTTCCTATTGTTGCCCTTAGTGATGACTTCTCAGTTCATATTGTTTCCCTTAGTGATGGCGTTGGGTTGGTATATTTCCCGTTTATCATGCATACTCTCTTTCGAAGAGTCACGAAGGAATGAACAGAAAGTGGAGAGTAACAACTGAAGAAACCAGAGGACAAGATAGTAATGCGTTGTACCTAAAGCGAAAACCGTGGTAGTTGAAATATCAGAAATTGTCATCTGTCGAATAATAATCTTTGGTGCAAGTTAGTACAAGTCATTTAAGAGGGAAACATCAGGAGCGAGAAAAATTGATATCACTACTAAAAGTGGAACATTCGCTAAGTGAATTCTTTTTATTGTTAGTCAGTTATCGGTCTTGAGGGAGAGTGAATATGTAAGCTGCTGATACAGTAGAGTTGTATTCTTTGTATATCTGAAAAACATTACTGCCAAAAGATTGCTATTTACCAATAAAACACACGAGAACTGTGTTATTCTATAAAGACGAGAATATTTTCTCAGACCTGAATTAGCTAGATATGATAACGTGTTACTTTCTGTGACGTATAAGTATTTCCAAAGTGCTGCACTTCAAACTAAGATAAAGTTTATTGATGCTGTCATCCATTTGTTTTCAGACAGAGGCCCTTACGGAAGACCAAATTGCTGGTAAGTAGATTAAGATCATGCAGATTAATTTAATTTTACTGTACTCTTATTAACTTTTGTGGGTGTTTATTTTCCTTGAATTCTTGGATACTAAACGTCATCGAAAGGATAAACAGATGCAATTTATATGAAATTTAATACTTGTGAATTTTGTGAGAAACGTTTATCCACGAAATCTTGTGATAACGGAAATCTATATTTGTAGAAAACTACAAAACGTTCGTCCGCAAAAATATAGGTTTTTACAGTATTCCGAATTAAATTGTTGATATCCATGCTTAGTATATGTTGTTCCGGATTATTTCATTCTCCTTTCCTCCTTTTTTAACGCCCTGCTTGTTGTTGTTTCTAATTACGTTCCTAAGTCATAGTAATATTACCTGATGTTTCTACGATAATATCTTATCGGTATTCAGAATTCAAGGAAGCGTTCAGCCTGTTCGACAAAGATGGCGACGGTACCATAACAACCAAAGAGCTGGGGACAGTGATGAGGTCACTAGGTCAGAACCCGACAGAAGCCGAGTTACAAGACATGATTAACGAGGTGGACGCTGATGGTAACTACATGACATTTAACCTTTGCTAAACGTGCTGACACAAGTATACTTAATACCGTCTTGTCCGTACATGAATAGATATACTCTATATATAAGATCTCTTACTTGAATTAGGCCTTATTCGATATTGGTAGAATGAAATCAGAGGAATCACACTGGGTAAATGGTATATTACAGCCTGTAATATATTAGTGTATCGACTGAACAGAAAATCACAGATGGATTCCGATATTTAATGTCATAACAACGACGGAAAAAGATAACAATCGGATCGATTGATTGATTGATTGATTGATTGATTGATTGATTGGTTGATTGATTGATTGATTGGTTGGTTGGTTAGTTGGTTGGTTGGTTGGTTTGTTGGTTGGTTGGTTGGTTGGTTGGTTGGTTGGTTGATTGATTTGATTGATTGATTGATTGATGTTGAGTAATATTGATTGATTGATTGATTGATTGATTGATTGATTGATTGTCATCAATACATTCATTGTATTGATTGAACATTGGTAGACCTTGTACTATATATATGACGTTAATGAGGAACAAAAACACAGTACATTTGTACTGCTGTGTTAGTACTAGAAATGCCACAATGAGTCACAGAACATGATGGTCAATATTAATCATAATAAATAGATAGACACTATATTATGATGACAATAAAATTCAATACTGAAAAAGTAGCTTGTAATTCATTTGCGATGTAAATTTAAGAGTTATGTCACAATACCCTGTCGGTTCACACAATACATTGTCGGTTAACACAGTACAATGTCGGTAAACACAATACACTGTCGGTTAACACAGTACAATGTCGCTAAACACAATACATTGTCGGTTAACACAGTACAATGTCGGTAAACACAATACACTGTCGTTAAACACAATACACTGTCGGTTAGCACAGTAAACTGTCGGTTAACACAGGAAACTATCGTTAAACATAGTACAATGTCGGTTAACACAGTACACTGTCGCTAAACACAATACACTGTCGGTTAACACAGTAAACTATCGGTAAACACAGTACACTGTCGTTAAACACAGTACAATGTCGCTAAACACAAGAAAATTGTCGTTAAACACAGGAAACTCTCGGTAAACACAATACCCTGTCGGTTAACACAGTACACTGTCGGTTAACACAGTATACTGTCGGTAAACACAGTACAATGTCGGTAAACACAATACACTGTCGGTAAACACAATACACTGTCGGTAAACACAGGAAACTGTCGTTAAACACAGGAAACTGTCGGTAAACACAGTACAATGTCAGTTAACACGGTAAACCTTCGGTGAAATGTTACAAATACACACAACACAAAACGATACAAAATAACAGAAGACCTGATTTACTAAAAGATCTCGTTTGTCTTAATCGTAAACAGGTTTTATTGCCAATGCGTCCTTTGGAAATAGATGAAGGATATCTCTTGAATTAGAAACCTACATTTACAATAGAGTCTCGATCCACCATTGACCATGATCGGCTAAGGAGACCTTCCAATAACCTCGTTCATTCTAGCGGTGTGGCAAGGTTTTTATATACTCTCCAGACCCTTCTAGTACTCAGTTTGATATCATCCTCTTCAAAAAATCGAAGATCCATTTGATTTTATCTTCCTTGGTGAATGCAGTCTGGTTTTAGATTTATTGTAACCTGGCTCAGACGGCCTTAGTTCTCTGCATTTGTACAATAATAGTTTGTGTCGGAATATGTAGGTATGCTGAATGACGTTCTAAAGAAACACAGATTAAAAAAAATAATAAAAAGTTTGGGTATGATTCTAACTATACTGTCAGAATAAACTGATAATTGCACAAAAGTATCACGTTTATTTTAGTTTGATAAAAACTAATAGTTATCATGCTGGTTTTATTTAACAGATCTCTGTGATATAATTTACATACAGTTTAAAGGAACACAGTAAACTACGTAGATCAATACCACAGTTGCAATAGACTTTGACGATATTGAAATCTAACGTTAATACAAAGAAAAAGATTTAGACACGAGAAACCATAAAAAAAATTGGGTCTCCGAGAAGCATTTCAACGTAGACCAAGAAGAAAATGAAACACCGCGTAGGAGAGAAAAATATTCATATGAAGCGATAAAAATGGAGGAGATGATGAAAGAAATTATAGGAAACACCACAACAATGACCGACAACCGAGAGGGGAATATCAACAGATAAGACATCATAAAAACTTATTAAAGAACCATTGGTATTAATAAAGACCATGACGACCATTCCATGTCATCATTCAAAAATAACCATAGACATTACAACATGATAAACGGTAATTGTTTTGAAAAGAGTCTACTTAATCGAAAAAAATCCAACATTTCGATGTAACAGGTCTTTAATACGCCCCCACCCCCATTCGCCTGTCAATCACTCTTTAACACAAATAACCAACATGTAAATTGTTTCTACAGTGTTCACATTGTGACCGCGGTAGCCGAGTGGTTAAAGCTTGTGACCGATAAATCAAAAAACGCTCACCATTCTGAAACACCTGGTCTTATTCTCCTTCTATTCTCCGTGAAAATCTTTTGTTCTTATTTTGCCAGTTTCACCGAATTTCTGTTTGAATTTGGATTCAGGAATTCTTCTGCTCCCCGAGAATGCTTTCGCCGCCTTGTCTTTGTCGTTTTTGTTGAGTTTGTATCAAATGTATACGCTTATTCAACATGATGCTACAAGATCCATTAAGTAATATTTCTGGTTTGTTGTTTTCACAGGTAATGGAGAGATTGATTTTCAGGAATTCTTGACAATGATGGCAAGAAAAATGACGAGCATGGACTCACAGGAAGAACTGAATGAGGCTTTCAAAGTATTCGATAGGGACGGAAATGGACTGATCAGTGCAGCAGAATTACGTCACGTGATGACAAATCTCGGCGAGAAGTTGACAGACGAAGAAGTGGACGAGATGATCCGAGAGGCTGATGTCGATGGAGATGGACACGTTAACTATGAAGGTAAATATAACTTTATGTTCGTATGGCTGTGATACTACTTAGTACGCCCTAGTGAATGCAGAAATTAGAGAATATGTTTTTTAATACATACTTACAAATATTTAGAATGCCTTTGAGTCTAATAAAATAAAAAAGAATTTGTTACATTTTCGCCAATGAAATATAGAGAAATATCCCATTGATAAAAGTGCTATTTTTCAGTAGTAAAACTTATGGGTTTAATATTTCTTGTATCTGTAACGAGTGCTGCGCATATTAAATATTAAACATACTTGTGAAATATAAATGCTATTGTTTAAGACACTATTAAACATATCCTCTATTTCTACAGAACAACGTTTTTTTATCGAACATACTGTCTCTTTTTTTTTCTTTTCTTTCAATGATCTTGTCGATTGTATCGGATTTCTTAATTAATCAAATGCCATGTTTCTTTCCAGAGTTTGTGAAGATGATGACGACAAAGTAGACAATAGTATAATTAAATGTCTAATCCGAAACATGGACGTAGATAAGTCAAACATTTTTTATTACGAAACGGAAGTAAGAGGTTATACTTCCGAAGACAGAAGACAACTATCTGTTGTTCCCCTCTACACGTAACAAATTTTTCTATCAGTCTGTCAGTTTTGCTGAAACTCGGACACTCATTGTAGAGGTTACATTGCATGCAAGAAATAATTATGTGAAACATGTTAATTAATCAAATATTTGGTATACTATTCAAGGTAATACATGTGTAATTGTTGTTCGTGGTAACTTTTAAAACAATCTCGCTATCATAGATATATTTGGAGCGATGCTTAAAATCACCCCTAATTACAAATGTTGTATCCTGGTGTTTAATCATAAAAGTACCGAGGACGTGAAAAACACGGGTATTTAATCTGCGTGTTTGTATTATCCACTAATCCAAATCATATTTGTCAGCAGAAAATGTTCGTGACAATATCTGCAACAGACTCTGAGTTTTGCCACTACTAAATCTAACGGAGTAGCCTCCCTTGACACATAATTACATTCTATTGGAAATTTAATTTTTGTGTGTTATATTAATAAATTGTTTGTGATAATATTGGATGGCATGTTTTCATTTCATTTCATTTAACAAAAAATAATTTTTAAAAAAAACTGAGTAAATATTCATCGTCACAGAAGTTTATGAGAAAGTGTTTAATTCTTTAATTTTAATAATTTTGTGAAATAATTAAAACATGAGCTGTTTAAATTGTTTAAAACCATAACCGATTCTTCCGCTACATTTACTGAAAACTGGAAAAGAAACCCTGATCCAATTTTTGAATAGCTGTGTCCTGATAGATTGGTAGATTGTGATGTAATGAACTCTAATGACAGACTCGATCACAGGACAATACATTCAACAATGATTGATGGACCGAAATTATAATGAAGTATCCTTTTGTATTCAAAACCATGACAAAGTGGCAAACTGAACATGAGACTTATGTCTGGAAGCATTAAAATAATAGATCACTTATCTTGTTTAAATGGTATCTTAGTAAGTATTTATCAAAAATGTCAGTCATAGTATCAACATGATTAAGGCATCCGATTTCATCAAGAATTGGCTTCTTTTGAAACAGTGTACATTAGGATGTTTACCTCCCGCGCTGACTTACGTAAGGACTCTAATCCGTTGGCGATTTAAACCAACATACATATAAACCCGTTTTAGCGATATATGTCTGGGTTTGTCCCATTAGTGTTCACGTGATGTCATATCGTCCGTAGATAACAATGCCACTTTAGTACAGGATGAACTCATCAGGTGCTTTTAAACTGCCCTATCTCTTTGTCGGAAAAGGTTAGAATCACCTTGTCAGATAAATAGTTTAAACATTTATGTCATCAGTGGTTAATAAAATCGTTCTTTCGTGTTGGCGATTTGTCTGGGTCTGTGCTTGTACCTGTTATAGACGCCTGCTCCTAACTCCTTGATATTTTGCCAGAATAACTGGACGTTACGTAAACGCATGCTTATTGTTATTGTATTTTTCGATAAAATTCAATTATTCCTTGGCTTTTTTGTTTCAAAGAAGAAGATAATAGAATAAGTCAATGGTAATTTCTAAGAAGGATTAGAGTTTGTAGAGAGACCAATGAAGATAATCTAGCGTTTAAAATGGTGATGTCTCTTCACAACGTGCAAAGTGTGTAATAAGCCTTGTATCTTCATCTTCAACTCAGAGGATAAATAGAATTCAACGACTAAGATCATTTCCTCGAGGAGTCAACACAGATCTCTTGCCATTTTAACGACTTAGTTAAACACCGATTTTATTAAGGATGGCGATGGTGAGTATAGATAAATACTCTGAATAAGTAATTAGTCTTTTTTATAAATAGATTAATTCTCGTCTTGATTTGGGGTATTTCCTGAACACAGAATTAACACAATTTTTTTAAATAAACATTGACTTCATGTTAAAAATAATAAGATAAATATTCATAGTCTGTTCATATAATTTATTTACATTTTATTTGATGAAATATTGATATAATATATATGAATAATACTAAATTGTAATATGAACGTTTCAACTTGCAGCAAATGCTGATGGATAAATATGATATGACGTTGGTGCAGATAAAAGGTATGTTGGATATGATAATTACAACCTTTAATAGTGTTTTACAACTTATAGCGTTATTTATACCAATAGCAAAAGCATTTCAGTACCTAGTTCTAAAGAATATGTCAAGGAATTGGAGTTATTGTTTTATAAAAGACAAACAAAACAAAACAAGAACATAGCAACTTTGAATCAGATTCAGTGGAGCCAAATAACGAAAAAGACTGCATTTTACAGCTGTTTTGTCCTTCTAGCACTCTTCAGTGATGATAAGGGCCTATCTTTGTAACTCTGTGAGGCGACTTCGGAAAATCCAAACTAATAGAAACAAGATGGGGAGGTGCACTATCCTAATAATTCAGTTAATCATTTTCATTGAGACATTTCTGATTGAAATAACAATATTGTCACTGTTTAAAAAGGAAAAGAGAAGAAAAATCATCAGAAAGGTTTGCAAGCCTGTTCTGGATTATCACAGTGTCAAATTCGCAAAGAAATATTACGTCCTGTACAATCTACTAATCGTAATCTACTAATAGCACAGCATGCATCCCTTCATATTGTTTTTAATATATACATACATACTGTGATCGCAAACAATTTTCTCATCGAGACGTTCCAGTGCAATCGTCGGCTATGATATGTCAAAACTATACCTATTGTGCTTTCAACATACGATATATTCTATAATTCAGATTTTTGTCGAACAGGGCGTTATCAGGGGCTTATGTCGTTGACTATTATGAAAACTAACCCAAAACATGGAGCGCGTTGTTGAATTTGAAAAAGTCGGTATCAGAAAACACAAGGCATTGTATATAAAACAAATAAAGACGTATTATGCTAGCCATCTATTCCTACGCGAATGTTTGACGGCGCAATATTGTATATATTTTGTCTAATTACGCAACACGAAAATTGATCCAAATGTACTGAAGTTGAGTTCATGACATGTTTTTTATCGGTACTTACAGAAATGCGTGACGTTTTTAAGATATTTGACCAAGATGGAGATGGTGTTATCACCGAGCAGGAACTAGGAATAGTCCTAAACTCATTAGGGGAGAGTCTGTCGGACAGTGACCTTCACGATATGATGTTAGAGGTCGATGAAGACGGTATGTATATTCCTCCCTACTTATTAATACACGTCATTTAACAAAGGCATGCTTCTGTTTGTGAGTTCATCTTATGAGACGTTTTATGTAAACATTTTGAGACCGGCACTGTCTTCCTTATATCAACCTTCTCCATTGCCTTTTCGTGTTCATTCCACAGCTCACTAGAAACTTATTTTTTTAGATAAATGTAATTGAGAATATATTTTAATCATTCAATGTTATTGTCGCGAGCACAGAACCACCAAACTTGTAGTAAAAAGTTGAAGTTGGTTTAAGAACAACGTATAGCGAAAATTCGTATCTGGCACAATATTCAACAGATCAACATCTGCTGATAATGGCGAGATATATTAGTAAACATTTAAACAAAAATTTGAACAACTTTATTTGAACTCTGATATTTCATATATAACTTACACAGGAAATGGAGAAATAGATTTCCCGGAGTTTCTTTCCATGATGTCACGGAGGATGAAAGATCGGGGATCCAAGGAGGATCTCCAAGAAGCATTCCGGGTATTTGATCTGGACGGAGACGGCTTCATCACAGCTGATGAACTACGTCACGCCATGACAAGCATGGGTGAAAAGTTGACAGACGAAGAGGTCGAAGAGATGATAATAGATGCGGACGCTGACGGGGACGGCCGAATAAACTACATCGGTAAGATAAGCAAAGCTATGTCTGATGTTTTCTAATGTAATTGAGAACTCATTTTCATAAGACTTTTTCCAAACGTAAATATTTTGAAGTGCATTACATTGTATATTATTTTCTATAAACATTTATATATAGATAGCGACACTTCATGCCATAAATTAGCAGCTGTTTCCAGATATATCTGACATGCATATCTCTTAAGGTATGTTGAAACTCTATTGATACTCCACGGTAAACGTAGATATTCAATTTGCACTGATTTGTTCAGTATGAAGCATATCCGACAAAATTCTAGGTAGTAGTTGATTATACATATTTCAAAATTCACAGCTGACCCATATTATGTTTGAAGTCATATCTATTTCATCAGGCCAAATAGGCATCATAACAAACGTACATCGTTAGTTTGTATTCGTTTCTACTCTGATTTACATTTGATAACTTAAAGGCATGCTTTCCCTTGCGGTGGCTCTGTTAAATTGCGTCCTGTTGAGGTGACGATATGGAATATCTCATCTCTTGTAGGATAGCGTTCTGACATATTTTATCGTTGGGAAATAATGTTGAAGTAGAATTCATCCTTAAGATTTGACGTTGCGATATTTTTTTTTCTGCTACGATACATGATGTTATTTTGCTCTACCCACGCTATGTATTGACGCTTTGTCGTATTTTGTGCTTCGGAAACAGATTTTTGCTTATCATTTTTCTGATGTGTTGACCAAAGTTCTTGTTTTGTTGATTTGGTGGTTTGTCTTTGCGTTTAGTAACATTTTTGAACAATCTTTAGTTAAATGATCCTGGGTGTTCTGTGTGGAAGTGACATAACTTACACTTGTAAAGACTTGGCGGGTGTCTTCAATGAAGTAAAGGACGCTTATTCTACCGAAACATCCAGTCCTATTTTCCCGGTACCTTTTCATGGATCTATTCGTAAAACTTTTGTTTACATGTCCGGACTTTCTTTGTTGGTATTGTCTTCTTGCCTTTCCTAAAACAGCAATCATCAGTATTCCATAGAGGTATCAATTTGAATCAGCTGTGTTAAAACATACATGTGATAAATGTGTTCGATGATAATAAAACTTTTAAGCAAAAGTAAGCATCAAGTGGTTACATAGTTGTATCATTATATCTGGTTTCAGAATTCGTTGAAATGCTAGCTGCTGAAAAGGTTCCCTCGCCAGTACCACCAGAAACTATTTCAAAGGAGCTCAGCACTGTTCCGGAATGACGTATGCAACATAATGCCAGCTTTATGTGAAGTATTATAATCGTCAAGGAAATGTGACGTCGCAGACATATTAATCATGATTCTTCAAAATACACTTCTATGAATGCTTTATGGATTATCTTCAGATCGACTGCCGCCAAAAACGTTTAATTAACCCTTCAATTGTTGGAAATTTTTTGTGACACTTCCAGTCGTTATGCTTTGCAAATAGATTAGTTTACTCTCGGAATGAAAAATTGGGAAGATTTTTTTTCTAAAACAAACTCATCATCAAAATCCAATTGATTCCCAAGCCAGAGGTTCATTTAGATCACTGATGATTTATGTAAATGTTTATTTGTTAGGCTGCAAGCATATCCATTACTTTGGTAAAAATGTTTTACTACCAATAATAAAGGATGAAAGTTAATAATATTTTTTGTAGTAATTCAGTAACAAGATTTAAGTTCAGCAGTGTATTGTATGTTATTCAAAAGGAAGTTGTGTGTCAGCTGAAATTTTGATGTCGAATTAAAAACGGATAAAAAAGGGATTAATAAATTATTATTATATCGAGTTTTTTAAAATTCTAACAGCCCCTCTGTGTGTCCATATCATGCACATGGACAGAAATCATTACTTTGTTGTCAGTAGCTTCAGGAATTGCTAACATTTGTTTATATTGTAAATCTAACAAATATAACTTACTTTTTCTTCTCGTCAAATATTATGACTTATATCGTATCCTGACAACCTAACAATTTGTATTTCTTTAGTGTGTTAGAATGTCGATATTTGATTCGGTTTGCTTGGTTGTCTTGATGTTTCAATTGATATTTCGTAATAAATAATATCTGAATAACACTGGTTTCGGTTCAAATGAAGTATCGAGAGTCAAAGTTGTTTTTATGTATGACGTGGTTTTTACAAAAAACAAAAGACCCGAAGAGATCCGAAGAAATCCGAAGAGCTAATATAATGGCGATGGCATTAAATAAACAGAATCCTAACGTAAACAATTAAAAAGAAACAGAATTGTGTTAAATAGTCCAAAGTACAATAGGAAGACATTTTAATTTCTTTTCTTTCCTTATTGTTTTATTCTTTTTATTTATTTGTTGTTTTTTTTTTTACAAAAGACATATCTTTGAAATGAAATCATTTTCAAGACGATACGTTAGCCAATTAAAAGGGAGAAGGCAATTATTTGAAATACATTCCAACTTTAATTTCTTTATCACTAATATAAGAGGAGATAATTACTTGGAATACCTTTAATCATTCAGTTCGATAGATACGTTTACCTCGTTAAGGTTTTACAAAGGATATTGGATTACTAGCTTGTTATTTACTAGCATATACCAATACAAAGTTTAAATAATTTGGGATTAAAATCCAATTATCTTATTTACACGGAAACTTTTCCCAACAATAGAAACATGTCCCCAGAGAAAACCGGCTTTTCTGCATTCCTGGACAAGTTTGATTGAGCTTTTATAAGTTATATTCAGTGTTAATCATGAAACGTCAAAAATGTTCTTGGAAGCGAAGGTAGTAGTATAAAATTGATACAGAAAACTGTTCCAAAAATAAAAAAAATGATAGAAAGCAATAAGTTTTTAGAGAAAATGGCTGAAGTATATAGCTGATAGATCCTACTTCCAATGATTAGTGCCTGGAATTCCTAGCACTTCAATTTATTTTAACTGATCTTTTTTGATAAGATCGAGAATATACATGTAAGAAAAGATTAGCTCTGTATGATCTACTATAAACATCTAGCAATTAAAATTATTGTTAGCTACAATAGTCTTTGTAAAATAAGATATGAGAACGATAGAATAAACTATTTCCTTTTATAAATGTGTTTCAATACACTGAATTCTTCTATTTGATTGGTTTAATATTTTCTTTCTTGTCCGATAACATGAAAAATCATTTTTAAAAAACCTAAACTAATTGTCTGTATTGAATGATATATGTACATGGGTTTATACTGACAGGTCAACGTGAACGAAAAATAACGAGTTTACCATGGACAAGAGCTTATGTAAAATGTCTAAATTTATAAAACTAACTAACTTCGTTTATTCTTATTTTCGATTACGTCGACCCATGATACAAACCATACATTTGGTAAAAGTCCAAGCGAGGATATGTCTGGAGAAATGACATTTCAAATACGTCATTTCGTTACAGACCTAAGTGGCAATTACATGCAGGTGGGTTCCCGGATCGTGACAAAACTGCCTGTTACTTACCAAAAGTATACAATTGTTTTGATTTAGTCTATGTCAAGACACGTCTATGTAAGTGACGTTATAAAATATCACTACAACTGATTCCATTCGAGGCTTTTGGAATTGTAAATTGATAGAGTCATTTAACAGAATGCTACAATTTGGATAAAGTTCACTGCCTAAAGCCCTGTATGGTAATTTTATTCTTGGCGTTTATAAACATTTAGAAGTTATTTAAATCACCTTTTATGTAACGCTACTCGAATTCTGTAAATAAACTACACTTGACAAACGGAACATAATAATCCGATCCATTAAAGTTCTATTTGTTTGGTACGACTTTGGTGAGCAGTTGATTTTAGTGTTTGTGTGTATAAAGAACAGGCAAATATACAGTTCCTGACGAATTCTATATACTGATCTCACTCTGGCTCCACGTGTCAAACACATTGATAAAAGGTATGACACAACAGGACGCTGCAAGAATGGTAAGTCTCTTGTATTTTTTTCTATTTTTTTACATATATGCTGAAAAACTGACGATCCTTTTTTTGCGACGGATATGGTTTTACTACTGACATCTTGTAGATAGGATCATTCAGTGTGAATATTTGTACCGGTGTGTATGGCTTCGTTTTGAAAATAATATTTTGAGTTGAGCCCCATGATATTATTAAATTAAATAGTTATTAAATATTATTAAATAGCACTCACGAAACATGACAACTGATTTACTTAGTATTATTATCTTTCAAGACAACTGAGAAGCCTGACATGACTTTTTCTATAAACAATTGCTATGTAAGAAAACTGAGAGAACCCATGGTCTGTATAAACAACGAATATACATGACGACACTATGCTCCCTGTAAACTTGACACTAATGTTTGTAAATAGTATGTTGGTGAATATTGACACCTTAATAATGATAAAGTCTCAATCCCAAAATTATTTATAAATACATTTTTTTTATAAATGTGTATTTATAATCGATAACAACATGCATTGTGTCACTGTGTTGGACATTCTCTGTACACTATTTTGTTTTTGTTCCGTATTTTACAAGTCAAGAAAACACTAATACATCAATTCAGTGGGATGGCAGGTCGGCTCAAATATACTTACAACTCATTAGCATTAAAATGAATCAATTATGCAATATATTACATGAAATTAACGAAAGCGGGTTGGGACATTAACAGCTGGTAGACCAAACGACACTAGAATGATATACTATATTTTGTATTTAACAAGTTGTATTTGTTGTCGACAACTTTGGTATATCATTTAACAGTGTACGTGTTTCACTATAGAAAACAAATCAGTTTTCATTGGTATCTTGTTTGTGCGAACTTCAATGATTGTACAAAAGACACATAAATGAATAACATCTTTTAATACAGAGATAGGTATAGTAAAGCGAAATAATGAAGTAAATTGCATCGTGCAGCTGTATCGTCCTTCTAGGACTTGTTAGGGATGCTAACGGCCTAAATGTTGCGGTCTAGGAGGAGACAGAGGAAAATCTAATATGATCGAAATAAAGGTCAAACTTTAGACGAGGAGGCGGATAAATTTCAATATTGATATTTTTTACCACTTAGACTACGTGGATATTGAATGATGATCTAATTAATTATACATATGCCTGCATGCTTAGTTCCCTAAGAAAATACTCACAGACACGCATTGGTATTGATTTAATTAGTTTTAATTTTCGTCATCGAAAAAAAAATAATAATGAGAAAAGTCTCGCTCTGCCTGAATATACTTTTCCCAACTTGATGATATTTTTCAAGATTTATTCAAGATGGCTAGGCCATTATTCATAGTTCCAGAATCAATGCTACGTGTTTGTTGAATAGGTTTAAATTAAGGTACGTTACACGAGATCTTTTATTTACATTGGCCATTGATTCAATAATGACATGAAGTTCAAATAAGGCCAGGATGGATTTCTCGGCTGTTTACAATAGTCAAATTCAAATTTATATCGGGTCTGTAATTTAAAAGGTGTGTATTTCGAATGTTAAATAACGTTGTCTTTTGGACAAACCGTTGTTGACAATGAAATGCCGGTTTAACAGTACATAGGTAAAAATTCGTTGAATGACAGGTCATTACCTCTGTGCTCGTCTACTACATAAAATTAAAAGGAAACTACATCTAGATATATCAGTTGTTAGGGGTTCATTAAAACCTTTAAACACCACCGATAGTTAATCCACTTGAACTTTGAAGTTGTTATTCGAGTAGAAGTGTGTGATTGATAACGACGAAAGAAGTACTTACAAAAATGTTCCCACTAAAACGTAGAATTGTAAAAAGGGTTACAAGAACCCTTACCAATTACCGTGATAGGAAAAACATGTCTCTTTTTCATCTTCCGAAACACTTCGTCTTATTCTCATATTTTCACGTTTTTATTATATATAAATCTTTCTTTCGTTCACACTCTCCACTAGTTTCACAAGATTTTCTTGACGTGGAGGTGTTTATTTGTTGTTTGTGAATACTATTAACAGTTGTTGGGTAGTTCAAAGCATTTTAGATTTCCATCGTTGGAGAATGAGCAATCTTAATATCGACGTCTGTTGTGACGATGACATCTTGATTGTGACTGTGTGTGTTTGTTGGTGAATGGGATACATGGAATGCCCCTTTAAACATCGGGACATATTTGTTTTTCTTAGCTTGTACCTGCTATGTAATTAAATCATGTCTAATATAAATAAATCAATCTATAAATTAAGACGTCAGTATGTGATATGAATGTTTGGGTTAACATGTCCGTTTTCGTCCTTTTCCAGAGTGACACGGAAGAGGAACCTCAAATTCAGCTGACGGAAAGACAGCTTGCAGGTACAGTGTCATAGACAAGTTTCAATATAAAACTACCAGCTATATATGAACACTGAACTGTATAAGTCACCATGACCTGTTTTAGATCAATGTGATCTGATGTTGTATGGTAAGAGGGATCATGGCGGGTTTAATGTTATTTCATTGTTGTCATTTGCGAACGTTACACGAATAACATGGACTGACCAAGGTTTACATGACAGGTGTCGTCGATGTAACACATGGTTTTATTATCCCTGTGCTTTATCAGGAGCCTCCGTATAAATATTTGGATTTGAGTTTGGAGTTTGAGTATGTTGACATGTTGTTATTTGTTTTTTGTTGCTGTAATGTCTGTTTTGTTTTATGTTCATGCAAGATTTCTCTTAGATTGGAACAATTTTGGATAGAACTATGCAAATTCCTACAAGGTAAAAAACAAGTAGAATAACCAAGATATGGTTAAATAAATATGCAGATGCTGCTCCAATAACAAGCATATGACTCACATAATTATATTAGAAACCTCAGAAAAATACAAATGTTTTGGTGAGTTTTTCTTTTTTACAGAATGTAAGGCAGCCTTTGAAATGTTTGATAAGGATGGCGACGGGACGGTGACTACAGAAGAGCTAGCAACTGTGATGCAATCGATGGGTCAGAACCCTACGGAAAATGAAGTGGCCGAGATGATTAGCGAGGTTGATAAGGACGGTACGGTATAAACTTTACAATACTTTTCAATGACCGTCAAAGCGGTGGATGATATTTTAGTTAATTATCTGGTACAATAAGATAATTAATGTGCAAAAGTCCATTTCGTTTTGACTCTAGTAGGACAGTCAACTGCTATTTGTACTGTTTATATAAATCGCATTAATCATATTGAACGTTCAGCCAGACAACGAATGGAGTTCTTCATGATAACACCGAACTGCGGAGAAAACAGTGATGTTTGTCAATATGTTGAGAAATATCGAAAAAATTCGAAATGCATTAAGATTAAGACAAATAATAAATATGGGTTCTTATTGTTTCATTTGATAACACTTAGAATGGGTTTTACTATGAAACAACCATTTCACGACGCTCGGCTATAGAAAAACTTTTTCTGAAATGTCATTCTTTAGCAAAATAGAAGGTTATCCATGCGCCACATACAAATTAATATGTACATAATAAACCTGGAATTAAAATCCTGTTTAAAAGTTCTCGGGTTCGGTGTTTAAATATTCATGGCAATAAACAGATTAATACTTACCGAGGGATATATTATCACACATTCACAGTCGAATGACAATTAAGAACAACTCCGCATAGTGTGATGTCATAGTAACATTGTGACATCATAAAGATAAAGTTCTACACCAGTGAATAGTTCTGATTGGCTATACACTAGGGATGTCAGTTCGATGTAAATTGTTATTCGAATATTTATTTTCAGTTCAGAAAATCGCCACCATAGACTTATCTACTGTTCAATTCTCAATATTTACATGTCTTCTCGTTACCATGGATATTGAATTATTGAATGATTGAATAAAAAGAAATAAAGTATATTGTATAGTATACACAAATATCCTATTTTTTGTTTGTAAATTTTCAGGTAATGGTTCTGTTGATTTCGAGGAATTTATAGGGCTGATGGGAAAGTACATGCAAGGAGTCGATCCCGAAACGGAATTACGGGAATCTTTTAAAGTGTTTGACAAGGATGGAAATGGATTCATTAGTGCCGCGGAACTAAGACATGTCATGACAAATCTGGGGGAAAAACTGACCGACGCAGAGGTCGACGAAATGATTAAAGAAGCTGATTTAGATGGAGATGGTCAGATCAATTACGATGGTAGGTGTAAGGAATGTTAAGTATTTGTGTCCGATATTGAAATCCAAAGCAAACACTTTAAAACAATTTCATTTGTCATTTATACAAACCTCTTTATTATTCAACATATCTCAGCGATTTGGAGGCTGTCTTTTAATCTTTTAATAAAAAGTACCTCGTTGAAAGGAAGAAGTGTAGAGAATTCTGACAAGCTGTTCATAACTCGTCTCGTACTCTGATAGTATGTACAGTACGAATTGACTTCGTATATAAAATCTCTGCGCTAGCTGGCAGAGGGTTGTTTCTTGTGCTGAATTTAAAAATAAGACCAACGAAGAAGGGCCTGCTGAAGTTTTGTAAGTTCCAGGTTGGCAAAATGGTCGTCTTCTAAATTCTGAACTACCCATTTAAATACGTGTCTCTTGCAATTTGAATAACTCATAAACTTGCCATATGAATTATGGCAGTTGGTCCAAAGTTTTGCACATTAAGGCGGAAGTAATACTTTTTCTCTTTCTTGACGAATTTTCGTTGTTTTAGATGCTGGTAAAAATTTTACAGAAGACATAATGAATAGCTAGCACCTTTACTACAAATTTGGTTTGATACAGTAGAGTCGAACAATGAAGTAATCAGCATCATACTGCTGTTTCGTCCTTCTAGGACTTGTCAACGATACTACATCATACAGCTGTTTCGTCCTTCTAGAACTCGTCAGTGATGCTACATCATACAGCTGTTTCGTCCTTCTAGGACTCGTCAGTGATGCTACATTATACAGCTGTTTCGTCCATCTAGGACTTGCCAATGATGTTACATCATACAGCTGTTTCGTCCTTCTAGGACTCGTCAGTGATGCTACATCATACAGCTGTTTCGTCCTTCTAGGACTCGTCAGTGATACTACATCATGCAGCTGTTTCGTCCTTCTAGGACTTGCCAATGATGTTACATCATACAGCTGTTTCGTCCTTCTAGGACTCGTCAGTGATGCTACATCATACAGCTGTTTCGTCCTTCTAGGACTTGCCAATGATTTTACATCATACAGCTGTTTCGTCCTTCTAGGACTCGTCAATGATGCTACATCATACAGTTGTCTCGTCTTTCTAGGACTCTTGACTGATGTTATGGGCCTAATTTTTAAACCTAGGAGGTGACATAAGAAAATCCAAAGTGATCGTTAGAAAGAGTCAAATTCTAGATAGGGAGGTGCATTAGCCCCATAGTTCAGTACACTACTTTAATATATCTGACAATTTAATAATGTTACTGCATGTTTGCGTGGGTATGAAACTACATAGTTGTCTGTTGGTTTCATGTGAAATTCATTATCAAGATTCATATTTGTTTTTATTATTGAAAACCCGCCTTCATTATTATTCTTTTTTTATTTGCAGAATTTGTTAAAATGATGAGCGAATGATCATTATTAAGTTAACATTACCTCAGAAAATTATGACATTGCTATCCGGCGTACAGTGCTACAGACCTTAACGAACCAAGGTCGACAAAAGATCGTGAAAGTGACTCGATGTTCAACATTGTTTCAATTATATACATGTAATTGTGTTTCTAACAAAAACATATGCCTGGAATGGACTGGACTTTCCTGTGTGGTAATAAGTGTACAGTAGTGTGAACCTTAATCAAATGGAATTTATTTTTACTTTAGGAATTCTTCGCCATTGCTGTGATTTTCATAGTTTGCTATTGTATCAGCCTAAATCATGAAGACATATATCGATGACGTACAACACATTTATAAGTTCTAGTTAGCAACGGTATGAATTAAAACCATATTTTTTTGTAAATAATAAAACATATTTTGTAATATACGTTTTTAATTTATTTACCTTTTTAGGGGGGAATGAACATATGTGTTGTATTTTTTTCATTAGATGAATGCAGCAATTAAAATTTTCGCGAAGTGTCGAGTACCTTTAAAATTTACAAAGTGCATTGTGAAAGTTTAACCTTTAACCTTCCATTGGAGAGAAAGGCCGGAAATCTCTGATAGGTGTACTATATGGCAGAATGCCATACATAAACACTCCTGTATACAAATCTTCACACCTTGTGTTACGTAAGCAATGCTATCGTGATGGATGTAGCTAGTCTTTATTATCTGAAAAGCTTGTGTCAACCGATCATTTGTACCACACAAATATAAATAGAATCATTCTTCCATCAATATAATTCATACTTCTCATATCTCGAATTGAAAGCATAGATCAGAAAGTATTTTGACGATGACTTTTATATTCGATATAGAAAACAAGCTGGTGAGTTCTAACAAAATTTTATAGCATTTCCACTTCGAAGACATTGATCGAAGTTGAGAAGTCCATTTTCCCTAAATTTTAGAATCCTAAAAATTAGTTGAATATTGGATGAAAGTCTTTTTTGAAATTGTTGTTTATTTCTAGATCGAATGCAAAACATTATAGGCGTTTACAGATTGATACAGGGTTTGAACCTGTGAACCAAGATAAGAAAACACAACGTAACAATCATATAAAATTCAATAAGGAAAAGCCAACATGACAACAAAATATTATAGTTTTAAAATATCACGGGAGATAACTCCAACACAATGTGCCTGAAGTAAAGACACACTTCGCCATACTAATTGCTTGATATGTTAATACCGTAGGTGGTGATAATTTGCTTTCAATGACAGAGAAACGTCAAATAATGGGTAGATATCGAGTTTTGCATAGCACATGATTACGATAAGAATGCTTCTTTGCTTGTTATTCGTTCCGAAACCTATATTCATGCCAATACTGTTTTTTATTTTTTAGGAAAAGGGAGGGGGATGTTGGATATTCAGTAATACGACTGTACAAAAAACTGAATCACACTTTTCCATGCAAAAGAATTAGATACAGTACAGTAGAGTTAAAATCTAGATAGGGAGGTCAATAGGCTAGTTCATGGGTGACAATAGATCGTGTTATACTATAGCAATACTTATTTCTGGAGCATCAGGGTAATTGTCTAGTAAACTGTTCCAATATGCGTATATTCTGATATGTATACTTTGTCTCCAATGATTAAATTTGTACAAAAGAAACAGAAGTGAACGACACCTTTCAACATAATTTAGAATTAGATATAGGAGTGCCAAATAATGAATTAAACTGCATCACACAACTTTAAAGCGAAGAAATTGGAGTCTAGTTTGAACACTTGTCTATGATGTTGAATTCACTTTGGTGTACCGATTGTGTTATCGGGCATGGAAATTATCTAAACTTGCAGGACATAGTTACTATAGAATAAGGAAATTAAACTGTCAAAACGTACAATAGTTTGAGCAGTATTGTATCGGGTCTAAACCACTAAACAGTCTTCTGTCAATTGAACACGTATCAATTATCACATCTGCCATGTTAATATGCAAAAACGAACCTTGATCGATACAGGAGAATTTTATACTACAGCGTTCTTCAAGAAAAACCTATATCACAAACTTCAACAATGGATATTCGGTCAGGTAGTTTTCAATACTAAGTAATATACTGGTGCAAACAATCATGTTTGACGGCTGTGCTTAATTGGTCAGAAAAAAGCTGATTTGCATGTCGTTGAAATGCGACATGATCGGACATTTTACAGTGCTTCAAAAACAACCCATTCAACATGAGTTATGTTATAATATGTTCAGAACTGTATTATAAACAGAAGCACCTGTTTGATAAAAAAAAGTTATAAACTGCACAATAATAACTTGTATCAAATATTATTTTCTGGATTGCAGTTTGGTCTGAAATTCAACAAATACCAACTGAAAAAGGTAGATTAGCTGTGTGTTATTATTTTAAACTTATATGGAAAACAGATTCTGTTTACAAAATTTATAAATATGGACCTATCTAATATCTAACATTTTTCATTGTGAAGCCTACATAACTTTGATATCAAGTTGACACTTTTTGACAAAGGATGCATTGTTTTATGTACTCGTAAGCTAACAACACTTGGAAAAAATGATCAGGGGTTAGGACCTTAGTCCTGTTTTATTCTGCAATGTCAATCTGACAATGCTTTACAACACTCAGATGTTCCGTCAAATTATACAACGAACTCATCCACACTCAGTTAGCTTGACGATTCGTTAAGATGTAATTTGCTTCAATTTTTCACTATTTAATCTCACATGTGTCACATCTAATTCTGTATGCACAACATTAGCAAAATTCCTTTATCTTTTGTTTTTTAATTTTCAGGTTCGAAAAAAATTTTAGGTACTGTTTTAGTAAGCTTTTTGTGTTAGTGGCAGTAAGGTACAATATAGCTGTGTACCATTCGAGTACATATATACAATAAAAAGTATGTTTTTTTACCAATTCGTGCTGATTTGATTTTAATTTGGTTAATAGCGTTAGAGCGACGTCATTTAAATGGCCTTTTAAGATACCCGACACGTTATTTACCACACGATACGTTTATAGAAAGAAAATTTAAAACCTGTGTAGTGTTCAATACCGATATTGATTTCTATACTCGGAGTTGAAGTTGTATTACTGGTCCTTTAAAACGTGTCCTGCTTATATTGTATGGTCGAAATGAGTTTAGCAGATTGCCAACCGTTCGGAAATCCGGTGTATGATATAAACATAAAGTTTTATTATACTGAAATTTCTAATATTTAAAAACTAGGCTACCCTTCTTTGTGACGTGTAAACGACATGTATAAATTGTCAGAGATGGACCTTATTGATGTTTAGAAATCGTTCACCGTTATCATGATAGGAAGGTTACCTTGCGTATCATAGGTATACGATGACGTTTCAAGTAGGGTGTTTAAATGTGTTGTGAAAGGGAACAGGGTAATATTTTGATATGTATAATCATTTAAGTAAGTAAGCCGTACCGTACGTGTTCGGATTAAATCAGTAAACACAACAGAGCTCTGTGTGCCGACAGTTTTAGAGTTTCCTGTGATCAGAGTGAGAACGAGATCAACACAACACCGTCGCACTCCACCATGGTAAGCCATTTTCTAAACAATCTTATTTTTTGTTTTCTTTTTTTAAATATCTAATGATGTTTATGGATTTTTATTAACACATTTATTCACAGTAAAATATGTATTGGTTTGTTTTACCGATATATGAAATATTACGTTATAAACGACAGGAATGTACAATGCAATGAAAGTTTGTGTCATATTTCGATATTCCGCATACTTCTGTAAAACATTTTATGACATTCTACATTTACAGTTATCGTTGAAACTGACTCGCATAACCCCTGTACTTCTCATTATCTTTATGATAGTCCCTCTCGTGCGTGTAGTGATATGATGCTATGAATGAAAGACACCCGCTCATCTTCATCATTTCACAAACTGAACTTGATATGATATTAAAATATATGTGAAATGTTCAAAACATATTCCTTTCGATAGTTAGTTTTTAGTCCGGCAAACTGAATGTTTTTTTCTTCTAGTGTGTATGTAAACTTTGGAGTAGATAAAAAGCGAAACTGTTTCTTAATGAGTAAGAACTACAAATATAAGGTTTAACTTTCTATTCTACAATTCAACTCGAGTAAATTTTACGTAATGAGTTCAAGTGTAGTAATCTCACCCACCCCATACCTACCCCCACCCCATACCTACCCCCACCCCCGATAACATAAACAAGATAGAAAGTTAATACTTGCACGAAATGAGGCATCGTCTCTTTCTATAGATATTTGATGAAAAGACTCAGAGACAAGGTTTAAAACCAAACTGAAGTTATATCATATTTAGGATGAGCTGTATGCAATTCGAAATATATGCATGACTCAGTTGTTTGAGAGGTGTTCATACATGGATGTATTTGAGACTCCGGGGGAGGGGCGGGGGTTAAAATCGCTGTTGTTATAGTGCGAGTTTATTAGCAACCTGTTTTAAAAAGTTGAATAAGACACTTAGCTCCATATTCCTAGGTATTAACATCATCTCTTTATGCATGTAAAGTAACATCTACTGGTAGAATAAGGTTTATATTACAAGAACATAGTATACATGAACACTGAATTTTATTTTAAATTGTTTGCAGTATATACATTATTATTTATAATCAGCAGGAACATTAGTGAGGTTTTCGTATATCTAACTATTTATCCTATACCAGGCAATCTATCTTATTTATATGACCATGTTTATCTGATGTTACATGACCGTCTGTATGTGTAAATAGGCTAACCTATTCGAAAGTATTCATGATCAGTGTTATCTGTGTATATCTGTGCTGAAATTATACCATTGATTTCCACATACTTACGTTTATCAAGGTTATTGCGTATTTTAAACTGCATGTTTTAACCAGTTTTAAATGTGTGAGGTCAGTATTTTGTCTGGTGTTTGGAGACATCTATGTTCCTATGCCATGTCTAGCAGCCTATATACATGATGTGTTTAAGTGCCGAAGTAGTCAGATATTCATGGTGCCTTAATCTTCATTATGGCTACATGCTATGGCCATCACAGGTGTAAATAAATCACGATAATAGTTCCATACAAAATATTCAACACTTACATTTATAACAAAAGACGACAAATTAATTTGCCTGTTGTATGTATTGTGTAGTATGGCAGTCAGGAAGCAGATGAAGCCTGCTATCCTGAATTATCTCCCTTTGTTACCGCCGCGTCAATGATTGATTATTGCTACCTGTAAACACAGGTGAGACAGCTCCCCACGTAGCACAGTGTCATTGATTTATATGTATATATTAAACAGCTTTATATACTTTCTGTTTACAGAGCCTAAGCGAGACAGGCTTAAGTAACGACGAAATTGAGGGTAAATATACTTTAACAAACATTAACATGAAGATAAAAAATCTAATTTGACTTTCTAGATATTTTTCAGTATGAAATTTATATCAGAGATCTTTATTTAAGTTATTTGAAATCCCATTAGCGATTTGAATGAAAGTTCAGCTAAAATCGAAGGAATTTGCATTCATGTGGCAGGTGTTATACGCAGCACATTTATCAAACTGTAAACAAGTAATCGAAACCAAAATTTAATGTGACGTCACTAACCAAAATAAAGCAGGCATTAACAAAATGGATATTTATCTCGAATCATAAAATATAGCGAAAAAGAAAGACGGATGTTGTTGAATATAAAAGAATAATTCATTAAGATAAAGTGTTATCTCAACTGACTTAAACGGAAAAAAGTTTCAACTTTGAGGAAAATATGTAAAGATGGTATTACATCATTCTGGGCTATTTTTCTATTCCAATAATAAGTAATTCTTTGTCTATATAGTATAGATTACAGAGAAATTTGTTTTACTCCAACACGTTCATTGAAGTGATTTAGAATAATACAGCCTGATATGGTTATCATATGAGTAAATACCAAAGACAAAATATCGTAGTCTAAATTTGTCAGTATTAAAAAAAAAGTATTTAGGGATCTTTTGACTGCGGGATATTCTTATGTGGAACTTTAAGTGACAACGTGTCAAAAGAATTCACTATATATGATACTACAGTAAAATATTGTGCCACATTCTGTTTGAGGCATCATATTCCATACTGTTCTAAAGGGAATACATTATATGTAGCATACAGTACTTACAGAGTGGGACTATACCACATGTATCACACGGTGCTGACAGAGTTAAGAGGATCTTTAAGTCATTTCTATGTATTGATATGTTATTAACGTAGAGTTCCGGGAGGCCTTCAGTCTGTTCGATAAGGATGGAGACGGATCCATTCCGACTGCTGAGTTGGGCACTGTACTCCGAGCTCTTGGTCAGAATCCTTCGGCGTCCGAATTGAAGCAAATGATAAACGAGGTGGACCAAGATGGTCAGTATATATTTTAAGTTTGACCTTCCCGTATTTTCTTCAATGTGGTAACCCCCGTCTCAAAATGACCTTGGATACTCAACGGGGCGTCATTGCGCAATTGAATGCATGAGTTGACAAACCATGAAACACATTACGTCCCTAAATTATTTATTGCTCCATAATTGAGTCTAAATTTTTCGTTTTTCTTTTTCTTATTTTTCTGCACAAATGGCCTTTGTTGTTGCATAAATTGACTTTCTTTGTTCATCAAATTCTCTGTAGAAAATTCTCAAAAATATTTCATTATCGCATGTTATCACAGGAGACGGAACAGTTGATTTCCCAGAGTTCCTAGTGCTGCTTGTACGAAAGATGAAGGAAGCAGGAGGCGAAACGGAAATGAAAGAGGCCTTCCGAGTTTTCGATAGAGACGGAAACGGAATGGTGACAGCAGCCGAAATCCGGAACGCCATGTACAACATAGGGGAGAAACTTACTGACGAGGAAATAGACGAAATGATCAAAGAAGCGGATTTAGATGGCGACGGACAACTGAATTATGAAGGTACAATGTCGTGTTCCTCGATACGCTTATATCATTGGATGAATCGTATTGAACTAATTGCAATATTATCTTTTCTTTCTTGAGAAAAGATGCATCCTGAGATGACAGCATGGAGTAATTCATAATGAAAGCATATCATTTGACATTATATATTCTTTTCTACAAAATGTTTGTTTATGTTTCAGAATTCACGTCGATTCTACGCAAATAACACTATTTTTGAGATGCCTTCCCTAAGTCATCGCTAGATTGTCGAGTCATGGTTATTTGCTACACTCCGGAATAACCATTCCCGTTACCAAGCTATTGTTTAGCTTAACATTCCATTACCCGGTTGCCGTTCATAATGAGACGCAATGATTGTGAAAAATGAACGATCGCTGATCACTAAACCGTTGTGAATATTGTAGCTCTTTTTATCGAGAAAATGGATGTATTATGTTACATATTGTTGTTAAATGTTTTTAAAACAATAAATAATAAAATATTGGTCAGTTTTTTGCCCTCCTGTGTTATTGGTTTTTTTGTTTTTTTGTTTTTGTTTGTTTTTTTTTTTTACAACGATGGTAAGTTCTAATTTCAATTCAAGAAAAAGATAATTTTAGAGGAATTATGGTAATTGAATATAGTCTATATGATGTGTTTTTTTTATATACTTATCACTCTTGCAAAGCTGCCATAAGACAGTTTCGGATTGATCGGATAAAACATGACACATACATCGGCATATTTTTGGTGTACACACATGTACCAGTGTATATTCTAACATCAACCACGGAAGTTTTTACGACTAGTAGTTGTTCAGGTGCATGTAGGTACATCAGCTCTATTGATGTATTACACGACTAGAGAGTCCTCAGGTACATGTAGGTACATAAACTCTATGGATGTATTAGACGACTAGAGAGTCCTCAGGTACATGTAGGTACAACAGCTCTATAGATGTATTACACGACTAGAGAGTCCTCAGGTACATGTAGGTACATCAGCTTTATAGATGTATTACACGACTAGAGAGTCCTCAGGTACATGTAGGTACATCAGCTCTATAGATGTATTACACGACTAGAGAGTCTTCAGGTACATGTAGGTACATAAACTCTATGGATGTATTAGACGACTAGAGAGTCCTCAGGTACATGTAGGTACATCAGCTCTATAGATGTACTACACGACTAGAGAGTCCTCAGGTACATGTAGGTACATCATCTCTATAGATGTATTACACGACTAGAGAGTCCTCAGGTACATGTAGGTACATCAGCTCTATAGATGTACTACACGACTAGGGAGTCCTCAGGTACATGTAGGTACATGTAGGTACATCAGCTTTATAGATGTATTACACGACTAGAGAGTCCTCAGTTACATGTAGGTACATCAGCTCTATAGATGTACTACACGACTAGAGAGTCCTCAGGTACATGTAGGTGCATCAGCTTTATAGATGTATTACACGACTAGAGAGTCCTCAGGTACATGTAGGTACATCAGCTCTATGGATGTATTACACGACTAGAAAATCCTCAGTTACATGTAGGTACATCATCTCTATAGATGTATTACACGACTAGAGAGTCCTCAGGTACATGTAGGTACATCAGCTTTATAGATGTATTACACGACTAGAGAGTCCTCAGGTACATGTATGTACATCAGCTTTATAGATGTATTACACGACTAGAGAGTCCTCAGGTACATGTAGGTACATCAGCTCTATAGATGTACTACACGACTAGAGAGTCCTCAGGTACATGTAGGTACATAAACTCTATGGATGTATTAGACGACTAGAGAGTCCTCAGGTACATGTAGGTACATCAGCTCTATGGATGTATTACACGACTAGAAAATCCTCAGTTACATGTAGGTACATCATCTCTATAGATGTATTACACGACTAGAGAGTCCTCAGGTACATGTAGGTACACCAGCTCTATAGATGTGTTACACGACTAGAGAGTCATCAGGTACATGTAGGTACATCAGCTCTATGGATGTATTACCCGACTAGAAAATCCTCAGTTACATGTAGGTACATCATCTCTATAGATGTATTACACGACTAGAGAGTCCTCAGGTACATGTAGGTGCATCAGCTTTATAGATGTATTACACGACTAGAGAGTCCTCAGGTACATGTAGGTACATCAGCTCTATGGATGTATTACACGACTAGAAAATCCTCAGTTACATGTAGGTACATCATCTCTATAGATGTATTACACGACTAGAGAGTCCTCAGGTACATGTAGGTGCATCAGCTTTATAGATGTATTACACGACTAGAGAGTCCTCAGGTACATGTATGTACATCAGCTTTATAGATGTATTACACGACTAGAGAGTCCTCAGGTACATGTAGGTACATCAGCTCTATAGATGTACTACACGACTAGAGAGTCCTCAGGTACATGTAGGTACATAAACTCTATGGATGTATTAGACGACTAGAGAGTCCTCAGGTACATGTAGGTACATCAGCTCTATGGATGTATTACACGACTAGAAAATCCTCAGTTACATGTAGGTACATCATCTCTATAGATGTATTACACGACTAGAGAGTCCTCAGGTACATGTAGGTACATCAGCTTTATAGATGTATTACACGACTAGAGAGTCATCAGGTACATGTAGGTACATCAGCTCTATGGATGTATTACACGACTAGAAAATCCTCAGTTACATGTAGGTACATCATCTCTATAGATGTATTACACGACTAGAGAGTCCTCAGGTACATGTAGGTACATCATCTCTATAGATGTATTACACGACTAGAGAGTCCTCAGGTACATGTAGGTACATCATCTCTATAGATGTATTACACGACTAGAGAGTCCTCAGGTACATGTAGGTACATCAGCTTTATAGATGTATTACACGACTAGAGAGTCCTCAGGTACATGTAGGTGCATCAGCTTTATAGATGTATTACCTATGTGTTTACAATAATAATAAGCAAACATGCAATCTTGCGATTTTATTTATTTGATTTTGTTATTTTACAGTGGAAAGGCTCGATAAATTCATAAAAATAACACGCTCCCAAAATGTTCCTACATGCGGTGTGTGATAGCCAGAAAGTTCTCTGCTGTGTAACACCATATGGCTGTGTTAAGATACATCGATTTCAATTTGTTGAACTGGTATACCCCTGCTTCAAATTCCTTCAGATTTATTTCTTTCTTTATTTTCACATGTACACATAACCGTTTGTGCTGCTAAAGTATGAATTCGAATTATGCCTAATAACTTATTCACAATTACATCTAGGGCATGCATACTGAATACATAGTGTACTTGATAATGAACTTTTAACAGTATTTCCAGTGCACATAAATTCAATGCATAACAGACATATCATTATACGAGTGCCCATTATATATTCTCCGAGGTTGAATGGCATTTAAACTTTTTGTTGAACTTTATTAAATGGATGTTTTCATCAAAAACAAATTAAACCTAACATGAGAATGATTAGCAATGGAATACAATTCAGTTAATTACCTTCAAATATTTTACCATCTATTATGGGGATTTTATATAAATATAATGTGTCTCAGTAAACTTACCTTTAAATGATGGTTCTTTGACTAAAATGAAGGCAATTCAATGTTTTTATTCATTAAACATTCATTACATGCCGATGACCTCAACAAGAAACTAAGACAGGCGTGTCCTTAGTAGAGCGTGCAGTGTAGCCATGGTTACACCCTATCAACACTACCGTTAAGATACATGACAGGTTATGTCATGAGAAGGCCATTATTATGAAATGTATTTTAAAGCCTTTGTTTTCATATTAATAATCCAAATACTTCAATGCAGCTTTTTATACAAATATAAATATGATTATATAAAATAGCATGTTTGTTCAAGAAAAGGTTTATCGTGTGGTGTATTCTTGAGAAATGGTGGCCAGTTACAGTTGTCTCCCTTTGTAAGAAGACAGCCGAAGCAATTTGTCTGTAAATGGAGTATATGCGCTGGATTTTGAATTACTTTCTTTTGTAACAAAATAATTTTATCAAACTGTGCCGATCAGAGGTCAATTGTACAAAATACAAAATTGCATGGCATTCATGTGATGACATTAAAAGCAATTACCTGCATTAGGACACAATTCAACAAGTCGACGTGGTATATTATCGTTCAAACCAATCGGAGTATTACACCAGTTAAACTTAGTAAAATGAAATTTCAAAAACCGATAAAGAAGTTTTAATGGAAAGCGGCTAGGAATTACATTTACTTATTTCACGACTCGTTTTCCAGTTAGTGCTCAGGTTAAAATCCCGATATGTTAATCAAAGCGTCGCGTATTGATAAAGGAAATTCACATAAAACACTTGCATTATATATTTCACACAAAGCCATTTATAAAAAGCACCAATACTTAGCCATATTTGGCTTACGAGATACTATTACATGTAAAACTTTCTGATGAAATCTGATTGAAAGACCGTTTTATTTGATTGGTAACACCTTTTTGAAAACTTCTTTCAATCTTTAAAAAATTATCTTTACCTTTTAAACGTTAAATTTTGTGAGCTTTCTTCTGCTGCAAGTAAATCTAAAAATCTAATATCCTAAAAATACTTTGTGGATTCTTGAAAATGAAATAATTCTTTATTCAGTATCCGTTTTAAGTTTTGTAATTTCTCTCATTTATCTGTCGAACTCTTACAGAAGCCATTTCTACTTTGCCTGTCTACTACTGTGTGATGATAGATGTGCTCCGGTAAAGCGAAAGACTTGCTTATTACCTTGAATCATGGACAGTTACTATTCTCTTTTTGACAATCCCTTGGATTGTTTCGGTAAACAGTTAAATAGTCAAACTTCGTTATCCCGAACTCGTAAAACTGGAAGACCCCGTTTTATCAAAACATTGTCCCTGTCCAACTTTTCACGAAACATTTGAAATCACTTAAATCAAA